AAATATTGATGAAAATGTCAAGGAATTAGAACCCTTGTGCATTGCTAATGGGCATGTAAAATGAGCAACTGCTATGAAAAACAGTTTGGCAATTCTTTAAGAAGTTAAACATAGAATTATCATATGACACAATAAATCCATTCTAGGCGTATGCCCATTAGAATTGAAAACAGGTATTCAAACATAAACTTGTACACAAATGAGATCACAGCAGCACCTGTTGTAATAGCCAAAAAGTAGAAACAGCCCTACTGTTCATCAATTGATAAATGAATAGAGAAAATGTGGTATTTATTCCATAAAAAGAAATGAAGCACTGATACATGCTACAATGTGACTGAACCTCAAAAACATTATGCTGAGTGACAGAAACAAGGCACAAAAGAATATGTATTATATGATTTCATATACATGGAATTTATATATTTTATATAAATAAAATATCCAAAATAGGTAAATTCAGAGACAGAAAACAAATTGGTGGATGTCGTGGGCTTGGGGGAGAGGAAAACAGGGAGCAACTGCCAAATAGATACAAAATTTAATTTGGGGGTGATGAAAATGTTTTGAAAGTGAGATGGCACTTTCACAACACTGTGAATATACTAAATGCTACTAAGTTGTTAATTTAAAAATGCTTACTTTTGGGGCTTTCAGTCAAAGTGGCAGAATAGATGGTCCCCAGCATCACTCCCACAAATCAACCAATTTACAACTATTAAAAAGCAACTGCAGTCAAGCTGGGGCTGTTAGAGCTCAGGGGAAGAGGGGGAGAAACTATGGAGTACATGAAGGCAGGAGAAGCCACGATGAAAGAAAGAAAGGATCACCCCTTTCTTTCGAATTCTGAAATTCTGAATTTCTATCATTTTGAATTCTGGCGGCATCCAGACTGGAGCTGGTGAGTGCATGGAGCAAGAGCTGCCAAAAGCTGTAGCTGTGCCCTTCCTGTGAAATTGCTTGGAGGCGGCAGGGGAGAGGAGGGTCTTAGTGGCCCTCAGGCCAGCAGGACCACTAACAGGGTTCCTGTGACCGCACACAGGAGTGAGGAACCACAACAACTGGAAAAAGGAGCCACTCAGAGGCCAGTGAGTCATCACAAGGGACCCGTGCATGGCCCATCCCATGGAAAGTGTTTGGAGCACAGGCAGTGGGGGAGATGGACCCACCAGGGGAATGTTGGGGCACAGCAAGGGCAGCTGATCTGCCCTCCAACCAGCACAGAACCACTCTGTGTAGACTGGTCAGGAATATAAAACTGCAGGGGGAGCAGTTTGCTGAAAAGACTCAGGCCCAGACCAGTTTCTACACAACCCAGGTGTACTGAATCTCACGAGACCTGGAAGTACCTACAAAGTCAACCATTAAAACCTGAGCTGCAAAAAAGCCTCCCCAGAGAATCAGCAGCAAAGCAGCAATTTACGTCAACAACAGGGCTCAAGTGCTGGTCCCCACAGGAAGTTCCCCGATTTCAGAACTAAGCAAAGGACAGCACATTAGTTCCAGTGCAGAGTTTAAGTAGTGGGAACAGCGAATAATCCAACATGGAACTGAAGAAAGAAACAAAATACCCACAGACCAGAGACAAAGTTTGATATTAACTAATAAAGGTCTCACTTCACCAAAAAACACCTATAAAACCTAGAAAGACCAGAAGCCCCCTAGACCCCCAAGCCAGGGATTGGGGAGGGCCGGGGGCCTCAGCCATGCCCCCCAACACCCACAACCAGCCCAGCAACAACCACAGAGCTGCAACAGGAAGTGCCCCAGGCTCCCAAATCGGGGTGGTTGGGAGCTGAAGGCTTTGGCCATGCCCCCTGACACACACAACCAGCCCAGCAACGACCACTGAGCTGCCGCAAGAAACACCGCAGGCTCCTGCACCAGGGTGGTGGAGGGCTGAGGGCTTCAGCCACACCCCCCTGACATCTGCATTCAGCCAAGAAATGACCAAGCCATCACTGGAAGCCCCTTGGTCTCCCCTGCAGGAATGAGGGAAGTGCTGCGGACCTCAACGATGTCTCCGCTCCTTTCTCCTTCTCCCACCCTATTTCCTTCCTCTTTCCCCCTCACACCCAACTGCTCCACAACAACTTAGAATGTACAAACAGACAGAGCTGGGGACTGACCCCTCCTTCCGCAACCAGGCAAGGAGCATGCCAAAAACACCACTTCCATGTGAGTGGCCCACCACAGCCACCACAATAGCCATGGCTGCCACAAATGCAGCTAAATGCCACAACTACCATGCAGATGGCCCACCGGCCACTTGAGTACATTGACACATGGAGAGTCACCAGCAGAGACCAAAGAAAAGAAGAGGATGTCTTCAAAGAAGCATCTGCTCTATGATAAGAGCTGGGGACCTGAACACACCTCTCTCAGCACTGGACTGATCATCTAGGCAACAAATCAACATAGTAATTGTTACTCTTTCAGAAAGAGAGAAGAAATCTAGAGTTATCAGAGGTGGGAGGGGGGAGGGAGAGTGGGATGGGGAGAGATTGGATAAGGGGCATAAAGAATAAGTATGATTTGTAACAATACATGGGCTAATGATATTGATTTAATCAACATGTCAATGTTGAACCCCCAAAACATGTATAATCAATTATGACTCAATAAAAAATAAATAAAAATGGTTAATTTTAAGTTATATGACTTTCATCTCAACTAAAAAAAAGTAAAATAGTACCAAAAATGAAATGAAATATATATGTATACACATACACATATATACACACTCACACATATATGAGGGTACATCAAAAAGTTCCTGGAAAAGTAGACCTAAAAGATAACACAAATTTTTCCATGAACTTTGTGAAGAGCCCTTGTGTGTGTGTTTGTGTGTATGTGTGTGTGACAATCAAGAAAATGTGAATAGGACTAAATATTTGATTACATAAAACAATTTGATGTGCTTTTACGGGTGGAAATGGTATAGTAATGTTAATATTTATAAATAAAATTATATGATGTTATGCTGTCCACAATTTGCTTAAAATATATAAAAGTCAGAGAAAGGGGTACAATTAGATAGGGATATAAATAAAATAAGATTAGCTACATAGTGATAATTGTTAAAGCTGGTAAATAGGTACATTGGCTTCATGTTCTTCTTCTGTACACTTTGAAATTTCTCTTAAACTTTCTAAAAAACAAATAGAATTTATAACCAAATTGCCAAATGCACTATCATAGTGCAAGACTTGATCATGATTATGTCAAGTTAAGCAAACAAAAACACATGAAAATAAAGAGACAGAACAAGGTTGATTTATTGTAGATACTTAAAACTCCATTCTCAGCAATTAGAGAATTTATGTTCCTCTCAAATACACAAGGAATTTCAAATACTATATCTAAGCCATAGTGAAAATATCATGTATCAAAACTTGTGGGATACAACTACAGTATAATTTCAAGGGAAATTTATAGCCTTAAACCCTCACATTATAAAAGATGACTGTGGTCAAAGGATATAAAATTTCAGTTAGACAGCAAAAATAAGTTCAAGAAATCTGTTGTACATCATGGTGACTACTTTTAAGAAGAATATATTGTATACTTCAAAAACAATTTTTTGTAGGCTAGTCAAGTGAAGCAGTGGGAGTGGAGAACAAACAAAGAAATCTGTAACTGGATATGATCAATTCACTATAAATACCACTGCACTCAGACAGGCCTATATTGTATACTTGAAAATTGCTGACAGAGTAGATTTTAAGTGTTCTCATCACACAAAAATAATAAGTATAAAAGGTAATGCATATGTTAATTAGCTTAATTTAACTATTCCACAATGTACACATATATCAAAACATCACGTTGTGCACAATAAATATATATAATTTTTGTCAATTAAAATAATTATTTAAAACATGCTTCTAAGGGAAGAAAAATTTTAAAAAAGGAGACTGAATTAATGAGCTAAGTGTCCAAGTTAAAAAGTTGGAAAAACAAGAAATACAAACACACAGGAAGGCCATATTAAAAAATGTGACTCAATGAAATAGAACACAAGAATACAATACAGAAGTCAATAATGCCACAAGTTGGTTCTCTGCAGAAAGAGGAAAGATAGAACTCCAGAGAGATTTATCAAGAAGGGGGAAAAAAAGAAAGGCACACATAAACATTAGGAATAAAAAAGGAACTAACTACAAAAGCATACTAAAAAGATGAGGATATCACGGACAGATTATGCCAAAAAGACAACTAATATGGATAAATTCCTAGAAAAAAATAACATGCCAAAACAAATTCCAGAAGAAATATAATGGCTGAACAGTCTTTCATACATTGAAGACCTTAGAATTTGTGTGAAAATCTTCCTACAAAATAAATACCAAGGCAAGACATTGTATATGCAAGTTTTTAAAAACCAATATTTAAAAAAACAATTTCAATCATATAAGCTCTTCCATAGTGTTAAGAGATTATTCCCAAGTCATTCTATGAGGATAGTATAACTAGGATGCCAAAATTGACAAGTACTGTATAAGAAAGAAAAACTATAGACCAATTTTAATCAGTATATTAACCACACTTTTTAGATTTTGTATCTGATACTTTGACATCTGGGGCCTTGCTGACCAGGGAAGAACTGCCCCTCCCAGGATTAACTGACTCCTAGAGATAGCAAAGACTCCCCTGTAAACTTGCCTTTCCTAAGCAAACTAACCAATTCAAAGCCCAGACCCCTCAATTACCTTCTTTATGTGGCTCTCACACTCTGAGCCACTGTTTCCCTGCCCTGATCATGTTAGGGTCAGGTATTAGACAAGTAGGGACAGCCAATACACCATGAAGCCCACTGAAATTATTCAAACTAGCCAATCCCAAATCTATTTAACCTGCTTACCCTGCCTTGACTATTCCTCCCCTCAAAAACCACAATTCTGAGGCCAGGCGTTCGGATTCCCTTACTGGCCATCTGCCGAAAACAAAACAAAAACCAATAAAGGATCTCCTGCAGTCCCCCACCAGCTACCGACCTTTGTGTTCTTCTCTATGGCTGTGCATCGTGTGTCATGACTCTCTCTTCTTGATAACTGTGAATAACAAACTATCTTTTCAATGGCAACAGTCTCCTGATCTGTTGTCCTCACCATACCTAAACAGAAATAAAATCTATATTTTAAAACAATAATAAACATAGAAATTAAAAAATTCTAAATAAAATCTTAGCAAACAAAATCCAGCAATGTCTAATTTGAAATACTGCATTACATCAAATCCAAGATGCCACTGAATTTTAGTGCACCATTATTTTATGTATCTCTAAGAAAGAAAAATGATGCCAATTAAACAATGATACATACCTTATCATTTGGAATTTTTATTTCATGCTTATTGAAAGGGTCTTTTAAATTTACACTCAGATTTTTATCATATAAAGCTCTTATACATATATAAAAAGGAAAATACTTGCAATATATCTGTTAAGTTATTCCTAAAACAACTTTGCATTCAGACTCTGATTCTTTGGAATTATTTTCAACTCAGAGTAATGGATATCCATTTTTTTTTTTTTTTGTTGTGTCTTTTGTCTTTTTCCGTGTCCGGCAACGGATCGCACCCCTCAGTGTTGCCCCCGTACCGGACCGGGGACCGGCAACGGGATTGCGACCCTCGGCGTTGCCCCCGCGCCTCGCTCAGCCAAGGAGCGGGAACCGGTCTGTATGTGGGATCCGAACCCTCGGGCGAGAGCGCCACCGCGCTTCCCAAGCGGCGCACTTATCCAGTGTGCCACCGGGCCGGCCCCTGGATATCCATTTTTTTCCAAGCAACTTAATCCTTTCTTAAAAAAACCCATTAAAAAACCTAAAATCTGGGTCGGCCCATGGCTCACTTGGGAGAGTGTGGTGCTAACAACACCAAGGCCATGGGTTCAAATCTAAAGAAAACCAAAAACAAACCTAAAAATCTAAGTTCTCATGATGGCTTTGGAATTATGTAAAATATATCTATTTTTTAAATCCTGCTGTGGATTTGTTAATGAAACATGGCTGATACCTGCCTTCTCCTCCTTTTCAAAACTCTTCCCTGTAACCATTTGGTTTCAAGGGTTTAAAAGAGTGTTCACCACTGTCTCGAAGCTGCTGCTGACACCCATTCTTTTAAGTTTTGGTACTGGTGCTTTTGTTGTTACTGAATGAACAAGCAAAGATACCCACAACTGCAACTATTATTTGGCCAATGGAGATTACAAAATGCCACTAGATGTATGTTAATTTGAGAGTTGTAAAAAGTGGGCAAATGTGCATTCTCAAATCACTGACATGAGTAATACATCATTACTAGTTTGGGATTTTCCCAGAAATGCAAAGGAGATATATCAGAAAATCCACAGGGCCGGCCTGGTGGCGCACTGCTACAGTGCGCCGCTTGGGAAGTGCAGTGGCACTCCCGCCGAGGGTTCGGATCCCACATACAGACCGGTTCCCGCTCACTGGCTGAGCGAGGTGCGGGTGCAACACATCGAGGGTCGCGGTCCCGTTGCCGGTCCTGGTCCAGTCCGGGCGCGACACTGAGGGTTGCGATCCGTTGCCGGACACAAAAAAAGACAAAAAGGAAAAAAAAAAAAAAGAAAATCCACAAATAGCATTCATTACATTAACACATCACATTAAGGAAGAAAAACATGATCATTTCAATAGATAAAGTTAAAACTCATTTGATAAAATTCAACATGTTAAATAAATTAATGAACGGAAGCTTAAATGAATTTGTATGTTTAAAGATTGCAATAAAAACACAAGACCTTTTATATAAAGTCTTATTTCTTCTTCAAAATTATAAAAATCTAGACCAACCAGAGAAATACAGCTGAGCTCCTTCAGGGCAAAGTAGTTTGACAAAAGTGAGAAAAATTAAAGAAGTTCTTTATTTAATACTTTAATAGAAGTACTTTCTGATAAGTAATAAATTCTATTTGTCATGGAATATAGGCCAAAATGTAATCCAATATAGAGATCAAGTTTAGACTAGAACTTTGTATCAACAAAATACCAACTGCCTGGAATAGCACAATAGCATAAAAAATATAAAAATTTTAGGGATAAACTTGACAAAAGATGTCCAAAACCTATGCACTGAAAACTATAAAACCTAGACATGAGAAATTAAAGATGACTTAAATGAATAAAGATATATGGAATGGAAGACTCAATATTGATAAGATATCAAGTCTCCCAACTTGATCTATGTATTATGTATAATCCCAATCAAAATCACAGCAGGCTTTTTTTTTTTTAATTGAAAAGCTGATTCTAAAATTCATACAGAAATGCAAAGGTTAATACAGAGCCAAAATAATTCATGAAAAAGTGAAACAACATCGTAAGTTCCTAATTTCAAACCTCAATACTCAGCTACAATAATCAATCTGATACTGGCATAAGACTAGACATATAAAACTACAGAATATATTAGCTAAAACAACTTTGGAAAAGAACAACAAACTTGGAGTTCTTATACTACCTGACTTCGAGACTTATTATGAAGCTATAATTATCAAGATAGTGTGGTATTGTTGTAAAGATAGACAAACAGATCAATGGGACAGAATCCAGAATCCAGAAATAGACCCATACATATCTGGTCAATTGTTTTTTGACAAACGTACCAAAAAACAAAAGACTGATCATACCAAATGTTGGCAAGGATATGGCACTATTATGAAAAATCAACTAAGATTATGAATTGAATTGTCATAGCTATAATTTAATGTTTATTGAATGCTTACTGTGCTTAATAATTATTGGCTAGATTATTAACAATCACTCTGTTATTCTGTGAGGTGGGACCTATTATTAACACCATTTTACAGATAAGAAATCCGAGGATCATTTCTCAAAGTTACAATATTATCATATATTGAGCACAAATAATAAGGGACTATGCTAAAAGTGTTTTACCTATGTCATTTTATTTAACCCTTTCAACAACCTTGTGATTCAGTTACTTGCTCCAATTTACATACAAGAGTCAGGCAAGTTAAATAACTTTCCCAAGATTAAAAATATACTAAGCCGTTGAGCTAGGACTCAAACCTGTACATGGTGATCCCAATGCCCATACTCTTCATTATTACAATAGGAACTCTTTCAAGATAATAGACAAAGCTTCCTCCTCCCTTTATTAATCAAAAACCCATAGTTTTAAGCCTTTTTTTTTTTTTTGGATAGGTAAACAAAGATGTTAAAGGAAGTTCTTTGCTCATTTTTTTCAACTTTTCTTGGTTAAAATTTAGTTAGAGGCAGTCCCTAGCACACAAACAGCTCTCCTGCAAGCAGTCTAAGGATTTCCCACACCATGCAAAAGCTAGAGCTCTTAACTGTACAGGTATTGCAGCCACTGAGAAAACATTCTGTAGAACAGATTCAGAAATGGAGCTTGGGAAGTTGTTGTACAAAGTTCAAATAGTTAAAAAAAAAAAAAGTTCAAATAGTTTAGCGGAAAGAATTACAAAAACTTACTCGCAGTTTTCTTACAGGTGCCCTGATCCCACTGCAAATTATCCTGACTAGCTTAATTTTTTTTCCACTTTATTTACTTTTAACTCATTCTAACTGAAATTTCATCAATGAAATACTCATTGGAGTTAATAAGCATTTTTCCTAAAAAGGAAAAATTCTGGGGAGAATATGAGGCATTACAAATTCGTGTAAGTTAATACAAAGATAGCTTTCTGCCTTTAAAATGGGTTAAAAATAGCTATGCTGAGGGAGTGAAAAGATTGATTTGGAGATGAGAAAGCAAGTACCAGCAGCAGAATCTGCCTCTGCGAATAAAAAATATTCAGGAAAAAATAAAAATAAATAATAACAACACAACAATAACAAATAATACAAATTTTAAAAAATATATAGTATAACAACTATTTACATAACACTTACATTGTATGAGGTATTATAAGTAATCTAGAGATGATTTCAAGTATGCAGGAGGGTGTGCATAGATTATACTAGGAGACAAATACCACACTTTTATATAAGGGACCTAATCAGCATCAGAGGATTTTGGTATCCGCAGGGGTCCTAGAACCAATCCCCTGCAGATACCTAGGGACAACTGTATGTCTGAGGCTCAGAGAACCAGTAGGCCTGTGCTGGATGCTACAGTGAAGACTGAGAGAATTATGAATGCCCTAGGGAAGAAAACGTAAAGGTGTGGGGATGACATTTAAAAAGGAAGGTTGCCAAACACAAATCATCTACTTCAGAACTTTGCCCAGATTGGAATTTTGTCAATGGAAGAAAGATACCTTCATTTCTACTGTCTTCAGGGAATATAAAACTCAACTATGGGTTAAACAAGCTTTTTGTGGTTACATTGGAAAAATACTATTTAAAACAGTTTCTAAATGAGGGTACTTCAAAAAGTTCATGGAAATATTTATACATTTTTCGATTCCATTTGTTGCAGGGAACCCTGAGCATTTTCTAATTGTTAAACCTTTCCCTTTTTTCTGCTCAAGAAACCATTTTTAGAATTTTTATGCTTGACTGCCTTAATAGCAAATTCTGGCTCCTGCAACTTAGCTTGCCTCCTTCCTGCACCCACCTGTATCCATGTGCTAATAGGAGACAACAGTCTCACACACCCTAAGGCCTGGATGCAAATTAGGCTCCAGAGCTGACCAATGGACTGTGTCCCATAATCAGCCAATACAAAACAACAGGACTGCATCCCTCATTTACATAAGAGGGCCTACATGGGAACTTGGGAGGGAAGTTAGGGTGGGAATTTTGTCTATATAAGACTGCTTCTTTCCTTTGTTTGGGAAGACACTGGTCCAGGAGTCTTCAGTCCCCAGTGTTCTCCTTGCTTGCAAGCAAAAAGGCGCTGTAACACTGAACGAAGAGCTGTTACACCAAATAAAGGGCTGTAAAACTGCAACGCTGATGCCGGTTTTGGATTCCTCTGTGCGATCGCCCCCACAACACATTTTTCCATAAACTTTTTGAAGTACCCTGGTTTCCAAAAGTAGGTTTTAATATAACTATTGACCTAACCCATTGTTGAAATAGGGGTTAAAAGTGCAATTTAAAGTTATAGACAACCTTTAAAAAAAATAATTTGAATACACTGAAAAATAATATTCTTTCCTCCCTCATTTCTTCCATCAATTTGCATTACCTTCTTCAATCCTTACAAGTGCAGGCTAACTTAAAATACCCAATTTTCTCATCTATCCTCAATGTCAGTACATGCTATAAATTATCATCCCTAACTTCCAATTAACTCTGTCAAAGTAAAGTTTTTAAGAATGAAGATATTAATATTGGATAACTAGGTATAAAATGTTCTTTTCCATCTCGTAACCATCTCTCTGACCATAAATAGAATAAAGTACCTATAAACAAAGTATAAGTTGACTTTTTCATTAATCCGCAACAGACAATAGTTAACTTTTATAAAGCTGTTACTTTTAATTAAAAATAAAATTATTACCTTCAGATGTGACTCAAGTTTAATTCCAGGCCTCAAGCATTTTACTACCCCGGAAATGCCCTTTCTTGTCCACTCAATTCTTCTTATGGGGGGCACTAAATCATAACAGTTGTAGCTTCATTTATGAGAAAGCTATGATTGTCTTCTCAGGAGCATTTTCTCTGTAATGAGAAGGCATTCCATGTATTTTATTTTCTTGTACATAAAGAAAACTACTAGATTTTGTTATGCAGTCTTCATTAAAAGATAGCCATTACCAGCCCAGTACAGTAAAACCATCAATTAGCTCGGTTGAAGAGAACCAAAGACTAGGACTGACTTTACAAGTTAACTATGTGTTTAGGGGCAGATGATTTAAGCTCTCTGTGTCTGTTTTCCTTATCTAGAAGTAGTGATTTTGACTAAGGTTTTTTTTCAACTCACATTCTATAACTACCACTGAAACAAAGACCTCTGTAGCAAATAGTTTTTTCCTCAATGAAAAGATTTACTAATAGGGCATCTTTTGAAGCCACAAGAAGCTGGAAAATAAAAGCCTCCCCTCCCCATTCATCCCCTCCCAAATCCCAGAATTAACAAGGTTATTTCTCAAGAAGTATTGGGACTGGATAAAGAAAGGAGAAAGTATTAAATATGGAGTCTAGATAGTTAACAATGGTTGGACTTCAGAAAACAAACTAAGACATTAAATTTTGCAGGCAAACTGCTTTCTAGAATGTTTCATATTACATTAAAGAAGTGGATTTTATCTTATATCAAAAGTAAAGATTAGGGGCCGGCCCGGTGGTGCACTGGAGAGTGTTCCGCTTGGGAGCACGGCGGCGCTCCCGCCGAGGGTTTGGATCCCATGTGGAGACCGGTTCCCGCTCACTGGCTGAGCGCGGTGCGGGCGCAACACCGAGGGTTGCGATCCCGTTACCGGTCAATAAAAAAGACAAAAAGGAAAAAAAAAAAGTAAAGATTAGGAAGAAACTAAAATTAATGGGTCAATACTTTCATTTTTGGGGGAAAGGGTTGTATTGTTCACACATAGTGAGTTCATGGCAGAGGGGAAGAGAATATTCAGACTGTAGTGACTCTATAAAGGATCATACTTGGGCTAATACTGTTTTGATCTTGATCAAAAAAGCAATTCCATTTGCTCAGAACTTTAGAGGTAATTTCTCAGGTGTAATTTCTAAAAAACTGTCCTAACATCTGATTACGTTGTTCAATTTCCCCCATAGACTTCTGTGTATCAAAATTTATCTGTTAAAACCAATAATCTGAAAATAAATCTCCGAACAGAATGAAGGAAGAAGCCACTTGAATTTTAGTCTTAGAGTTGCTTTTAATTCCTGGTACCCTGGTCAGTGTCCTAAGAGATCCTGAAATCTATTCAATATCAGTGTCAGACCTTATTAACTACATTATAAAATGATGCTAAGAAAGTACTTTAGAAAATAAAATTTCCCTCATCTTTTAGAGGTAGGTAAATGATATAATGTTCCTTTTATAATATGTACAAAATTACTATGAAGCAGTGTTGTCAAAAATTAAATCAAGACTCCTAAGTCAAAAATATTTTAATAGGATAATTTATTTTTTTTAAAATGGGTTTTGAAAGTTATGTGTTAAATCAACATCAAAATTTTAAATGTATGCAAATATATATAAACAATAACCTATTTTAACTTTTTATTTTTCAGTGAAAAAAATCTAAGGCTGATATTCACAATGTCTCTTTTATTTAAGGTTTGCCCTCTCTTATAAACCTCTCTGTAACCTTAGTTTCCACCTGTTTCTTACCCCACACATTCATACCTCTTTTTACTTCTTTTTATTTGAGAACTTTACAAATTATTTTAATTAATCCTTACAATGGATTAAAAGATCTCCAAAGTAGATTTTATCTCTGTTTACAGGTAAGAAAACCAAAGCTGTCAAGTAACTTTTTTAAGGTAACAGAGTGTTAGGTTCAGATTCAAAATCAAGTAGGAAAAAAACACAAAAACAATTAGGACTCCGCAGCCCATGCATAGTCTTTACACCATACCACACTATGCCATTATACACAGAAAATAGGAAACTATAATAAAGAGAAACGTATTTTCCAAGCTGTGGTTCTCCAGATAACAATGTGTCTTCCTGAGGACCACAGTAAATAAATCCTGTAAGAAACAATTAAGAATTAAGAAACTGTTTCAACCTTCGGGTGCCCCAATTTATCTAATGTGTAAATCCTCACCATTACGATGAATCACATGGTTAAATGACCACCATTTCTCTGAGTATTAGCAAGCCCAGTCCTACCAAGTGATTTCCTGGGACGAAAGAAATTTTCTCCCCCTCCACTCATGTGGTTATTCTACACCATATTTGTTCATAACGGCAAAGCTTCTAGTTAAACTTGAATTGATAACTATTATGATGGTAACAATAATCAGCATTTACTTAGTGCTTCCTATGTGGCACTTAATTCTCACAGTTGACCAAAGTGTGGCACAGAGAGGTTAATTAAGCAGCAGAGTTCCAACCCAGGCATTCTGGTTCCAAGGCCTGCATTCTACGAGGGTTAATAAATTGAAAATAGTCTTCTACTTTCATTGCTCTCTAATAAAGATTATTTTTCGCGTCCAGTTGTTTAAGTCACTTCTTTTCTACGGTTGACTTAAATATTAGGCTTCTACTTAATTGCAATGCATATTTAAGCCATGTAAAAAGGAAAACTTTAGTTGTCTTCACCTGCACACACAACGCTCTGGCCCACAAATTTTGCAATCCAGTTCTGCCTGATTCTAAACTGCTGTCTCTTGAAGTCCCCCTCTTGGAGCTTTTCTGTTGAACACCTTAAAAAGTGACTTTGGGGTCTGGACAGTACTTCACCATTCCTCTTCCCTCAGAAAATCTTTACTGAATTAGAGTAATTCTCGGGGCCACTGAGAATAAGACATAGGCCTTTGGGTAACTTGAAGAGAAAAAAAGTGGGGGAGGAGTGGGAGGACGGCTTCTCCTTTCTAAACAAGGTATAAAAGGGCTCATAAGGGGGAAAAAAGGACCCTAAAAAGCGGGGCACAGGGCAGCGTGAGGGACCAGACACTGGGCGCTCCCAGTGGGGGAGGAGTGGGAGGACGGCTTCTCCTTTCTAAACAAGGTATAAAAGGGCTCATAAGGGGGAAAAAAAGGACCCTAAAAAGCGGGGCACAGGGCAGCGTGAGGGACCAGACACTGGGCGCTCCCGCCCAAGGGGTCCGGCTCCTTCTCCGCGGCGGTGGCGCATCCTCGGGCTCAGCAACCCTCCTCAAGACACCTAGCGTCCTCCTTCTCCATCCTGCCTCCCCGGGGCCCGCGAGCCCCGTCCTCGGCTGGGGGTAGTAGGCCCCGCCACTTATGGCAGCGAAAAGGCCGCGAGGCAGGGCGCAGAGGGCGCCACCAGCGCCGGGATGCGGCGGGGGGCGGGCGCCGGCAGTTGCACGAAGCCCCGGCGGGTCAGGAGGTGACGGGAGGAGGAGGCAGAAGGAAGGAAGGGGGTTTGAGGGGGTTGGGAGGTAGCGTCCAGTCCGTCGGCGCAGACAGCTCTGCCAAACCTCCGACTCCCTCAGTCCTGCCGCCGCCGAGAGCCCCACAAGGCGAGGAGGTAAGTCAGCCGGAGCAAAAGGGAGAAAATTCAAAACGAGTCTACTCAACCTCGTCTTGGCTCCGAGGCCCGGCCGTGGAGACCAGCACAATGCGCAGGCGCACCCCTCCGGGAGCGCGCAGCGCAGTCCCATGAGATCAGACCACTATCGGCCACCGTCGCCGGCTTCCCTTCTGAGTCGTCTTTTTTCACCCGTATTTCCGCCCCTCTCCTGGATCTAAAATCTGAAGGTAAGAAGGAGAACCAAGGAAAAATCTCGGCAGTTTCTGGCTGCCAATACGCGTGAGAAAAAAAAACCGGGCAAGGCTTTGGTCAATCAAAACTGAAGGCGGGGGAAATTTAATAGCTATCTGGCGGGAGTCAAGAGGATTTAACGCAAATAAAGTATCCTGAGGCAGCGTGGCAAAAAGACTACTCTTCCCAGTCGTCACAGCGTCTGAGAAGCGCTGCTTTCGGGGAGTTGTAGTATCTAGGAGCTGTGTTTGAAGTATGTGGTCTAAGGACATCGGCTTACGTTTTTTGTTTTTTTAAAGCAGATTTGAGTTGGACCTTTCTGTATCTTTCTAATCGATCACAGGCCTAAAGAAATCTAAAAAAGATGAAAGGGACACGCTGCCTTTAAGACTATGCTTTACCAGTCGATGATTCCTAAATCTAGGAATAGGTAGTTGATGTTTGTGGGCTGGGCCTCTGTGGAAGGACAACCTCGTGGTGCCTTTTGCTGAGGAGACCCAAGAAAAGAAAGCGGAAGCCAGGCTTCTACTGCAGCGTCTGGCATACCTGTGCAGTCTAATTTTGAGCGGTCTCTTTTCGTAGAGTCCTAAGAGACAAGGACTACTGACTACTAACCCATACGTTTCTGTGGGCAAGTCTTGTGTGTTCTCCCCGCCATGGCTCAGCTCCAGACTCGCTTCTATACTGACAACAAGAAGTAAGTAAGCACCCCACCCTTCTCTCCTTCCAACAGCCCCTTCGGTATGACCTTGTGGATCCCTGGTTGTCTTTGCTGTCAGCTCGCTACTCGGCCCTCCCACCCCCCCCTTTTTTTTGCTGGACTCTGTTGGAGCCCGTTGTCCGCTCAAGTTGGAAATGGTGCCTTGCGAGGGTTTCTCAGGAATCTCGTGGCAGTCCTCCGAGATCGCCTCCTTTCTGCCTAGCTTTTGTCTAGCTTTGCGGGCCCTATATAATTGGAATTGTGAATGTGGAGGGGAACCGAAGGGCTTCAGGTTTGCTTTCTGAGTGAAGCACACTATGCACGTAATTTAACAGTGAACAATGGGCCATGTCCTTTTTGGCTGTTAATAGCGTTTCACAGTTTCTGGAAATAAGACTTCATTTTCTTTTTAAGTAGGTGATAGAAAATGGTTTTCTAAGCCAGGCTACAGAGAGGAGCTCTGAATAGGGGGCTGGTAGAACGGGTTTTTGATACGAGATTGCGAAGTCAATTCAGTTACCTATTTGAGTATTTACGTGTGTGTGTGTGTGTGTGTGTGTGTGTGTGTGTGTTATGACATAAATACATCTGGGGCTGGCCGGTTAGCTCAGTTGGTTAGAGTGTGGTGCTGATAACACCAAGGTCCAGAGTTCCATCCTGTACCAGTCCCCCCCCCAAAAAAAATCATATGCTTTATATATGTGCTATTTATTATATAAATAAGTCTTGTATTTATTTATACGTAAACACATAAATATAAAAATTTTTACCAATAATCACTCACTTAAAACCTAATTATATGCTGTCTTTTTGCACTATTAATTTTATTTGTGTTTGCCTGGTCTCTTCAACTGTATTTTAAGTACATTGAGGGCAAGGATTATGTATTAAGCTTCTTGAATTTACTGAGTCAAGAGTGTCAAGTTTTTCTGGTGCTAATGATAAATGATAAATATTTGTTTTATTAATAAGCTAACGTCAGTCATAAACCAGAAAACTCTCATCTGAATTAAAATTATACCTTTGATTTTGTGTTTGTAGCTTTTTGAGTTGACCAGGTAAATCATATTCACTCCTTTTGTTACTTACAGTATACATAAATCATATAATCAATGCCCATGAGTATATATACTTATATTCTTAGCCTTAATATTTCTCAAGGAATGAGGTGATGCAATAGCATAACCACTGTATTTTTTAATTGAAATTTTTATTGTGATAATTGGTTTTCACAGGAAGTTGTAAGAAATAATAGATCACTGTATTTTTTATTTTTTTCCTTTTTGTCTTTTTTACTGACCGGTAACGGGATCGCAACCCTCGGTGTCGTGCCCGCACCACGCTCAACCAGTGAGCGGACTAGTCTCTATATGGGATCTGAACCCTTGGCGGGAGCGCCGCCCGCACTCTACCGAGTGCACCACCTGGCCGGCCCTAGATCACTGTATTTTTTTTTTTTTTTCCTTTTTCGTCTTTTTTACTGACCTGTAACGGGATCGCAACCCTCGGTGTCGCGCCCGTACCGGGGACTGGCAACTGGATCGCAACCCTCGGTGTTGCGCCCGCACCGCGTTCAGCCAGTGAGCGGGAACCGGTCTCCACATGGGATCCGAACCCTCGGCGGGAGCGCCACCGTGCTCCCAAGCGGCGCACTCTCCAGTGCGCCACCGGGCCGGCCCAAAATCACTGTATTTTAACCACTGAAATGAACAGATAAATATATATATGTGTGTATGTGTGTGTATTTAGATTCTCCAAAAGATAACAAAACTTAGAAATTAAAGTTCTTGGCTTTTTCCTTTCAATTGATATATTTTAGTCAATTGAGGAGAGAAAAGTAGCACTATACACATATATGAAGAAAATTCACATATGTAAGAAGCAAAAATTTTAATTTCTAGGTTTTGTTACCTTTTGGAGAAACTAAACTGCTCACTTTTTGGCATGATAAATGCAACTATAGCCTTATTACTCAAAGTATAGTTGAGGATCAGCATCATCATGTTTGCAGAGTTGTACAACCATTACCACACTCAATTTTAGAACATTTTTCACCACACTTTAGCTATCCTCCCACCCCAATCCCTTCAGTATTCCCAGCCCTTGTCAACCACTCATCCATCTACTTTCTATCTGTGCAGATTTGTCTTTTCTGGACATTTTGTATAAATGGAATTATGTAATATGTGCTCTTTTGAGACTGGTTTCTTTCACTTAATATGATGTTTTCATGTTTCATCTATGTTGTAGTATTTATCAGTGCTTCATTCCTTTTAAGACCAAATGATATTCCATTGTAGGGATATACCACTTTTTTTCCATTCATTAGATGATGGACGTTTGTGTTGTTTCCACCTTTTAGCTATTATGATAGTGGTTATATGAGCATTCATGTACAAGTTTTTGTGTGGACATTTGTTTTCATTTCTTTTGGTTATATTCTTAGAAATGGAGTTGCCAGGTCAGATGGTAATTCCACATTTACTTTTTGAGGAACTGCCAGACTGTTTTCCAAAGCAACTGCACCATTTTCATTGCTACCAGCAATGTATGTGGGTTCCCATGGGGTGGGCCTTGCACTGGTCCCTTGTGATGAGTCACCAGCCTTTGAGTAGCTCCTTTTTTCAGTTGTCCGTGTCCCCCAGCTCCTTTGGGTCCATGGGAACCCTGTCAGTGGTCTTGCTGGCCTGGCTTCCACAAAGGCCATCTTCTCCCCAGCAGTCTCCAAGCAACTTCACAAAGGGCACAGCTGTGGTTTTTGCCACCTCTTGCTCCATGTGCTCACCAGGGCCAGCCTTGAAATGGTCAAGGCTTGAAATAGTCGGAGCAGTCCCTTTGTATTTGTCGTTTGTGTTGCTTTTAACAAGATCCCTGGAATTGGGTGATTTATAAGAGAACAAAATTTATTGCTTACAGTTTCAGAGGCTAGGAAGTCCAAAGTCCAGGGAACACACCTGGTGAAGGCTTTCTTTAGTAGTGACTTGAGTGACAGCAGGGTATCACACTGAAATGGCGAAGTAGAGAGAGCAAGACCGACTCTCCTCTCTCTTTTAAAGCCCTCAGAATCACACCCCTGACCATTTTTAATCCATTCACTACTGCATGGTCCTACAATCCACCTCTTCAAGGATCCACCTTTCAATTATGATAAAAGGATTCCCCACCCTCTAACAGTCATAGTGAGGGCCAAGTTTCTAATACATAAAACTTGGGGGACACAATTCAATCTTCAGAGTTTTGGGGGGACATAATTCAATCCACTACACCCTTTCTTTTTCTCATCGCAGCTTCCCCCACCTTCATGAACTCTGTAGGTCTCTCTTTCCCTGAGCTCTAGTGGCCCCAGTTTGGCAGTCTTTGCTTTTTTTCTTTTTTTTTTAAATTTTATTTTGTCGATATACAATGTGGTTGATTATTGTGGCCCATCACCGAAACCTCCCTCCCTCCTTCCTCTCCCCCCTCCCTCCCAGCAATGTCCTTTCTGTATGCTTGTCGTGTCAACTTCAAGGAATTGTAATTGTTGTGTCTTCTCCCCCCCGTTTTGTGTGTGTGCGTGTGTGTGTGTGTGTGTGAATTTATTTATTTATTTTTATCTCCCACCAATAAGTCTTTGCTTTTTAATGGTTGTAAATTCCTCAATTGTGAGAGAGAGTGATGCTGGGGATCATCTATTCTTTCATCTTAATTCTTCCCCTACCCACTTTTTAAATGTCTTTGTTATTGAGTTATAAATATTCTTTATATATTCTAGATAAAAGTTCTTTATCAGATATATAATTTGTAAGTATTTTCCCACATGCTCTGTAATAAGAGTGTCCTGACCTGCCTCTTGTCATGTATTCCTCTAATTCAGTCTCCATTGTGCAGCCAGGAAGATCTAACTAAACGAAATTCTGATAGGTGTTATTCCTTAACTTGATCTGCTTGAATGGTTCCACATTACCTATAAAAGAAGTAAAAACTATTTCACACAATATGTAAAGCACTCCATGCATCTCTCTTTAGCTTTATCTTTGGTCACTCCCTAGAGCAAAATCATACTTTCTCAGATAGGCTGGGTGGGCAGTTTAACAAAGTAGCGCTATTGTTTTGCTGTTCTCTGTGCTTTCCTTCTCCCTTTTGTCCTGCCTACCCCTCCCTCACCTGGCAGAAACTTTTCTAGATGTAGCTTAAGAATGATCTTTTGCGGGGGGCTGGCCAGTTAGTGCAGTTGCTTAGAGTGTGGTATTGCTAACAGTAAGGTCCAAGGTTTGATCCCTGTACTGGCTGGTTGCCAAAAAAATAAAAGAATAATCTGTGCATCTTTTCATAAGGCTCTCCCATCCTACTTTTCCCTTGTTGAAATGACTTATCACTTCTTGTTCTCTAGTTTTATATGCATATCACTTATGGCATTGTTCTTACATAGCTTCTTTGTATTTGATTACCAGACTTTAACCTCTTCTGAGAACAGAGACCATGTCTTAATTCATTTTGGTTTACTCCATGTAGCAAAATGTCTGTCATGTAGTAGGTACCCAACAAATGTTTGTTGGATGAATAAATGTACATTTGTTAAAATATCTGTAGATTTGATCTTGACATATCATTTCCTTTTTATAGATATGCAGTAGATGATGTTCCTTTCTCAATTCCCGCTGCCTCTGAAATTGCTGACCTTAGTAATATCATCAATAAATTGCTGGAGGTCAAAAATGGTGGGTATATATATATATGCTCTGAGAAGAGGAGAGGACACAAGGCCACTAACTATACTGAAATACATTACATTTCAATTTTATTTCCTTTTCTGGTCTCATTTTATATTATTGTATAAAATTTGTAATTGTAAAATTTATAAATTATAACATACAGGTTTCCCTGTGGGATGATACTTTGAAAAAAAAAGTTTTCAGAAAAATATTTTGTTTAATGTGCTTTTAAGGTAATATAGAGATAAGGTGGTTGTAATTTAGGAATAAAGATTTTAGTATAAGACGTGATATAGAGGTAATCAGGCATTATGAGTGTGCCACAGAGGTCTTGGTTATGTAGGCATAAAACATGCAGGACAAAGCAAAATGACAATATCCGTATTTGAATTTTACATAATAACAAAATGCCAGCATTAACACTGGTGTTTTATTTTTTTGTGTTCAGAATTCATTAAAAAAGTGAGTATAACAAAATTTATAAACATGCAAGAATATCAAGTAAAACATTTATAAAGATATAAACAATATCCGTATTTGAATTTTACATAATAACAAAATGCCAGCATTAACACTGGTGTTTTATTTTTTTGTGTTCAGAATTCATTAAAAAAAATGAGTATAACAAAATTTATAAACATGCAAGAATATCAAGTAAAACATTTATAAAGATATAAATATTAAACATCTGTTATTGTACTAAAAATAATTATTTTCCCATTAAGTTAATATGAGCAATGTATGTACGAATGTAGATGAATAAGGTTGGCCTGAGCTGATAATTGTCAAAGTTGGGGGATAGATATATGGAGGTTTATTATATTATTCTCCACTTTTTCATATGTTTGAAATTTTCTATAATGTTTTTTAAAAAGTAGTGTAACATTGCATAAAATAGAAAATTTAAATATGAAGAATTGAAAATCACAAAATGTGATCTTTACAAACAAAATTTGTCAATGAAGTCACCATTTAGAGGCAAGTGCGTTTTTATGCAGATGTTTCCAGTGCTGCAAAGCTCTTTTGAGTCTACCCTAGTTAGAGGAATGAGGAAGAATTATAATCTAATGCCTAATATTTTCTCCTTCATCTTCAACAGTCCCGTAACTGTTTTGTTGAGTTTCAGATGATATTTTTGAATAATTTTTTTAAGGGGGTGGACAGAGTCTGCATTCTCTTTATTGTTAGCAAGCTGCAGTTCATGAGTCAGATAGTCACATAGCATTTTCTTTTGGTCCTTGTCTTTAGTTTCATCATGGCTATGTAGATTCTGATGCACAGTTACCTTTACACATTTCAAAACTTGTATTTTCTACTTGTTGAAAAAGTCTTTGAACTAGAATAAGAATTATTCTTGCAATAAAAGCTTTGCAATATCAGTATGTGGTTGTTATTACCCAAATAGTTGTATATTTTTCTAAACTTGTAGACTAAGCATTTGTCTTTTTGCATAAATTGAATAACTGAGTCATTGCTTTTGAGTCGAAGATGCAGATGATTTAGATTTCAGATTTTTAAAAAATAACAAACCAGATAGTTGATGAGGGAATTTTTAAAAAGGATTACAGCTAATAAATGCAGAAATAATGACAGAATTAGACTATTACCATTTTGCACCTCCAAATGAAATAATAGATGTAAGTAGTGATTATCAATAGCTGCTAAAACCATTAATTAAATAAATGACTGACAGGGAACATTAAGGTGGATAGGTTCAGACTGACATCATCTGAGCCCAAAAGTGGATCTTAACATCTTAAAAAAAAGAGACACAGCTAGTTATTACATGCATCCTGACATGGTAGGAATACACAATAGGAAATACACAGTACTGCCTGGGAATATTGCTAAAACAACCAAACCTGAAATCTAAACCAGCATTTAGGTGTAACTAGTTTACAGGATGTATAGGTGATAGAGAAATATGTTAAAGGACACTTTGGAGATGTAATCAACAAAACTAAAAATGTAGGAAATACTACAAGATACGTGACCCACTTTCTTCAATAAATAAATGACAAGGAGAAAAAGGAAAGAGAGCTGTTAAAGATTGAAAGAAACATACTTAATCAAATAAAATGTATGGGCTTTGGATGCTGATTTTAAAAAGCCCACTGTAAAAAATACGGGTGTTGCCTGGCTATTTGATATTAGAGGGCATAATTGTTAAATTTTTTAACATCGTGACTATTGTTTTTAAGTCCTTATATTTTAGAGATACATACTAAAGTATTTACAGGTGAAATGTTATCATTTCTGAGGTTTTGCTTAAAATAAACCGGCAGGGGAATGGAGGGAGGAGTATAGATGATTGTCCATGAGCTGGTAGATGTCAAAGTGGGTGATGGTGATGGGGATTCATTGTAATTTCCACTTCTGTGTATGTTTGAAATTTTCATAGAATAAAAAGTTTTTTAAGAATTAAAATAAGCACACCAACAACAATAACAAAAAAATTATACCAAAAGAGCAAAATACTTCTTTTCATAAAAATCACATAGTATAAATACATGGCCTAATTGTGTCATGAGAAATTCTGGAGAAACTCAGAGGCCACACTGGGATAATAGGTACATGTTTGTTTTGAGGGTTCTCGTATACCTCTGTGCCAACAACACTTCAGATCCTAAGAGCAATAATAGTTTTATTATGTATTTTCTTTAGAGTTCCACAAACATGTGGAGTTTGATTTCCTTATCAGGGGCCAGTTTCTGCGAATGCCCTTGGTCAAACATATGGAACTGGAGAACATCTCATCAGTAAGTTCAAATACTTACCTTTTGTATTTTACTTAAGTTATTATCAGCTATTGTAGGTAAACTTTTAGAATCAGCCTGAATCTATCTTTAGTACCCAAGATTCTTTTGTTTATTGTTTTTTCCTAGAAATTTGCATATTCAATTTTAAAACCTCTTCTTATGAAAGTATTTTATTCAAGAAAATGCAGATGAACACATTCTTCTACCCAAGATTCTTTTGTTTATTGTTTTTTCCTAGAAATTTGCATATTCCATTTTAAAACCTCTTCTTATGAAAGTATTTTATTCAAGAAAATGCAGATGAACACATTCTTCATATTTGTGGAAGATCTAGCAAGAAAGAAAATAGCAAATATGTTTGAATATAAATATTGAATATATATAAGGGAAGAGCAAAAAATATTTGGTGATTTAAAAAATTATAAAATATACATAACATAAAATTTACCATTTTTACCACTTTTAAGTGTACAATTCAGTGACATAAAGTACCTTTACAATATTGTGTAACCATCATCACTATCCATTTCCAGAATGTTTCATCATCCTAAGCAGGAGCTCTGTACCCATTAAACAATATGCTTTTATGATTTAATTTTAAAGTTTCCTATATTTTTCCCCCACTTTTAGCATAAGTTTTCCATGGCCGTTAACATTTCTTAAATAAAATTTTTTACTTTTTTAATGGCTCCAAGTTTTCTTGGTTATGAAGGGTTCTAATATGAAGCAGATACATTAAATTGAGATTGCTTTATTTTCATAGTATAATATTTTTAAAATGTGCCATCTGACTTATTTCTGGTTTTCCTCTGTGACTAGGAAGAAGTTGTGGAACTAGAATACGTGGAGAAGTACACTGCACCCCAGCCAGAGCAATGCATGTTCCATGATGACTGGATAAGTTCAATTAAAGGGGCGGAGGAATGGTATTGCCAGATGAATGTTCTTCTTTTTTCTTATGCACCTCCTTCAGTCTTTTAAGTCCACTATGTGAATATTTTTCTCTGATTCCCTGTTCTTTGTAAAAGTAATTTTGTGATATGTATATCAGTGACCAGGCCAAAAGAAAGATCTTCGCATTCAGTGTATTCAAGAAGAAACAGGTATTTATTTATAGGTTTTCTTTTCTGTTTCAAGGTATCCTAGTGACATTGTCTTCTGGCAAATTGGGAAAAAAAAAAAAAAATCAGCTGTCTTAGGGCATTTAATAAAAAAAAATCAGCTGTCTTAGGGCATTTAATTTATCTGGTTTGAGTATGTTGCTTTTAAGACCAAGGATATAATTTGTTTCATAGAGGAAAAAATAACTTTTATAGCCACGGATCTCTTGGTCTGCTGCCATGAAGATGCAGATCATGCTATTTTAGAACTAGAAAGGACACGGGCTGGCCTGGTGGCGCACTGGAGAGTGCGCCGCTTGAGAGCGCGGCGGCACTCCCGCCGAGGGTTCGGATCCCCGGCCTGGTGGCTCACTGGAGAGTGCGCCGCTTGAGAGCGCGGCGGCACTCCCGCCGAGGGTTCGGATCCCACGTGGAGACCGGTTCCCGCTCACTGGCTGAGCGCGGTGTGGACGCAACACCGAGGGTTGCGATCCCGTTACCGGTCAGTAAAAAAGACAAAAAAAGGAAAAAAAAAAAAAAAAGAACTAGAAAGGACAGACTGGAATCAAGTAAGAAAGTATGGACGACTCAGAGCAAATCCTACTGGCCTTATAGAAAAACACCTCAAGAGTGGATCATAGTAGGAGCTTACTTCTTTCAAAGAATGTCTCCCTGGAGTTATTATACAAAGTTGTGCTTTTACAGGTTTTACTTTTACTTCATATGGTTTTATTGTTTTTCTCTTTAATGATTTTCACTAGTTAAGTACAAAGGACTATTAGGCTTTACAAGCAATTTGCCTAGCTTTCCTAAGAGTTGTAGTGTTTACAACAATAGTAAAAATGAAATCTAGTTTGTCAGTTACTATTTTTAGGAGGTCAGGAAAAGTGTAATATCTCATCTGTTCTAGAATATTTTGAAATCATGATCGCCATATTGAAGAGTTTAAAAGTATAATCCTTAAGGTTTACTTTGTCATTGCCATAGAAACACAACTTTCAGGGTTTGAAAAAGTTTCTTTTCGAATTTCATAGGATTGTTTTTCTCTTCATAGGATCTTGACTGGTTCTTATGATAAGACTTCTCGGATCTGGTCCTTGGAAGGAAAGTCAATAATGACAATTGTGGGACATACAGATGTTGTAAAAGATGTGGCCTGGGTGAAAAAAGGTTAGGACTCTTTGCCTAAACTGAGATGAGTGCTAGATAGAAATTTGGAAATAAGCCATTTTCAGTTCTAGGGCAGAATGGTGAGTGGGTTAGGAAATATCTTATGCCATTGTTATTGTGAGGTCTTTCAAAAGTGTAGTGTTCAAGAAGAAAAGGTTTATATTAAAAAATCCATAGATTGATGGAAGTGAATCCTTACTACATTATATCAGATAATACACATTTTTCAGGTTAATACTGAGTGTATTAAACTTATATCTTCTGTTTTTGAAGACTGTTCCCTTTATACCATGTTATCTTTCTTTTTAGTGTATTTTATTTTGTTTGTTGTGTTTTTTTTTTTATGACCGGCCAGCTGGTTTGGGGATCCAAACCCTTGACCTTAGTGTTATAACCAACTAGGCTAATCGGCAGCCCCTTTCTCTTTGTTAAAACTGGCCATATGGTCTTTCTTACCTTTTTAACAAATTTTTCAACAACAAAAAAATTCAGTTCTCCGATCTCAGAACACGATATCTTTAAAATTATGTATTGATTTGTTTCTAATTCTTGTGTTCTTTCTTCAGACAGTTTGTCTTGCTTATTACTGAGTGCCTCAATGGATCAGACTATTCTCTTATGGGAATGGAATGTAGAGAGAAACAAAGTGAAAGCTCTACATTGCTGCCGAGGTCATGCTGGAAGTGTGGATTCTATAGCTGTTAATAGCTCTGGAACTAAAGTAAGTAGCTAATGTGTTATTAGTACTGTGTTAAATTAGAATTTGAGCTTTTTTTTTTTTTTCTTTTTCCGTGTCCAGCAACGGATCGCAACCCTCAGTGTCGCGCCCGGACCGGGACCGGCAACGGGATCTCTTTTTCCGTGTCCGGCAACGGATCGCAACCCTCAGTGTCGCACCTGTACTGGACCGGGACCGGCAACGGGATCGCAACCCTCGGTGTTGCTCCCACACCTCGCTCACCTAGTGAGCAGGAACCGGTCTGTATGTGGGATCCGAACCCTCGGCGGGAGCACCACTACACTCCCAAGCGGCGCACTGTAGCAGTGCGCCACCGGACCGGCCCAAAATTTGAGCTTTTTACTAAATGTTTTTTTCCTACACATATGCATTGTGATAGGCTTAGTTTAATAAAAATCGAGGACTAAAGAATATGATTATAAACAAAAAGCAAATACTTATACAACGAGAGATATATTTACTTCTTCAGTCTGGGTATCTCTGACTTAGAACCTTATATAAACTGCAAATATTTTAAGAAACCAGGTTAAAAAAAAAGCAGTTTCTTTATGTAACCTTCTTAAATCATAGTAATTGACATATTTTCAGTCTATCAGCTATTCTTAAGTGCTGTCATCAATTGAAAATGCCTAGTTGATCATCTGAGCCTTAGCATACACAAAGGTTAGTGTTAATAGAGTTTGCTTTATCATAAGTGCTAATCTACTCTTTATCATGACAAAATGATAAAAATTAGTTAAAAGGAAACAAACCTGAGGGCAATGCTATTTTGTTGTATGAGGGTTTAGAAACTCTCTTACAATTTGAAAGTCCCCTAAGCCACTTTGAAGTATTCTGAATTTAAGAGTGTTTCTTCAGTATTTCTTTGCTAGTTAGGGTAACGAAGGAAATTTGATGCACTCGAAGGTAAAGATTTACGATTTTCATATTGAGCCGAAAAGAAGGTTTACATGTTGTTTAGTCTAAACCTAAGTGAATTAACCATACCCTCTTTTTGGCTGTAAGAGGCAGAAACTCATCTTGACTTGTTTAAGCTTAAAAGAAAATTTACTGGATTGTGAGATCCAAGGAAGGAATAAACAACCACATCACCGTCTTGAAGAAGACTGGCTTTCTCCATATGTCAATAAGCTTGGCTTTTAATATTGCTCAGGTTTTACATCCTATACTGGAAAAAGACTGACTTCAACTCTCTGGAACATAAGTTTTTTTTTTTTTTTCCTTTTTGTCTTTTTCCGTGTCCGGCAACGGATCGCAA